AAAGAACAGGGGCCTGCAACTACCCAGCAAATGTACGAATACCTAGAAAATTTTTAGCACTGCATTTTTGTGCCACTTCACCAAATGGAATTTACCAAGAAATATTAGATATTTCTTTGAGGAAAGTTTTTTTTTTTTTTAAGCGTATACTTAGCAACGTGCTACTTAGACAGATGGAGTAAAAAAAAAGGCAGGTTTGTATGGGCGTTTAACGGAACGAGTGCGTTTTCCATAATGTTTGCTATGGCATGTGTTTTTTAAAAACACAAACAAAACATTACTAGAACTGGGAAACGAAGAAAATAGAAGTTTGAATTAGAATGTTGAGAAATGACTTAAAGAGAGGAGTTTGTTTGAAATTTATGATGGTAAAAATTGGCCTCAAAAGCGAAAAGTAAGCTTTTCAAAGTTAAAGACTTACTTTTCACTCTATGATTCCAAAATTTAAAAAGTGACTTTTCTGCTTAGTGTGTGATACTTCTCAATGTGTAGTGCCCATCATGGTGGGCATTACTGCCCAAACCTTGTTTATATCTGATTATGATGTGATTTGTTGAAGCCATGAATATGAAATGATCCTTGTGTATCCATAAATGTGAACTTGGGATTTTTTGATCTCCCGCTTTTTTGTGTGCGCCCAGTAGCTGCAGCAGTGGAAGACAGTGATTGGCTCCAGTGCTCCTAGAAGGATTTGGGTTGAAGCCAGGGAAACAGAACCAGAGGATTCCCATTACAGAGGCCATCAGGCCCCACATGTCTTATCTTTCCCCTCTCCCCTCATGGGTGCTCGGAATTTCAGTGTGGCTTCAGCAGCCCATAGGTAGGCCTCAACACTCAGTGTCATCACTGCAGTTTCTACGAATTTGGTCCTTGAGGAAAATAAACAAAAATTGGGGCAATATAAATAAATCATGGCTCTCGATATTTGTGTATTACTAATATACCAACGTCAAACTCTACTTTCTCAGATTTTTTTTTTTCTACATTCAAGATCAATTGTGAGAGGCCCTGGTGTCTCATAGGAAAATATTGCAACAAAACAAGATAATTGGGGGGAAAGGCGGTTGCAGTAGGGAAAATGGCTTTTCTTTGATAGCATTTAATTGGAATTAAAAGATTCTTGAGCTGTAAACATTCTTTATTTATTCAGCACACATAAGCAGGCATTGTTTTATCACCATCATAATTATGGTGTCCTTTAAACTGGCTGATAGCAGAAAAGATAAGGGAATGTGCCTGTAGATTCGGATCAAGTCTCCCTCCTTTCTTTCTTTCCCTTCCTCCCTCCCTCCCCTCTCAATCTCTGTTACCCACCCACCCCCTTTCTTCCTCCATCACTAGGGTCCCCCACAGCCCTTGAGATGAGGAGAGCAGGAAGACTGTGGCCTAACCATTTCTTACATCATGAATGTGATTTGTACCACACTCTAATTTGATGCAATCTGTAACCTTCTTGTCTCCCATGTTTATAACTGCTTTGTAGCTTGCAATATGTGTTATTTGAAGAGTTGCCTATTGCTCACCTGTATAAAATCTTGTTCACTAGGGTTTGTTGCTTTACCTTTTTGTCTAATTTAGAAAGCACACTCTTATGGCTTTTCAGAACAAAGCCTCACAAAAACCCCTTTACCTCCAAGGATTTGCAAATTTATAAAGGCTGCATTGAATTCAAGATGGGTCAGGGGGCAAAAAGAGGGTAGAAGGTCACTGCATTTTGATTATGGGTCAGTAGACAACATGGTATATACTCTCTGTCCTAAACTTCTGTTAAAAACAGGATTTTTAAATGCCTAAGAACAGAAGGATGGGCCCTTTTGGAGACTTGCCCTGATTTGTGTGGATGAGACAAGAAGAAAAAAATTAAGGAAAATATACTAAGTTATAATTTAAGTTGTTTCTTAATTTAGCCATTTCCACCTCTTCCATTCTCATTTTCCCCTCCCAAAGAACAGAGAACAAGTGAGATTAGATAAATTTAGGTAAAGAAATGTTGACTATCACACAAGCTTTTATTGTTCTATATCCTCAATTATTTCAGCCATATGAGACTTTAAATTATTACTATTTTAGTCTTAGTTATGTTGTAGGTATTATAGTTACTTTTGGCTAACAGTACAAGGGGCTTCTTTTATTCTTCTAACCAGTATACTTACATTGTTGAGGTCTTTGTGATGTTCCTTGGTCCTTTCTGTCTGAATTCACTTTGAACAAAATGTGCTCAGCAATCACTAAAACAAATGTATATAGTGAAGAGTTAGGCAGTGGGGATGGTGATGGGGGGTGGGGGGAGGCGGTGATCCTCATTTAAATTACGTGTGTATGGATGAAAGCTTGGAAGAAAAGGATTATTTTAATGCTCTTCAATACTTTAATTATATGACAGTTGTAGTGTAGAAATGCAAAAGTACTCTTAGGTTTTCCTTCAGGTTTTCAAAAGAACTTTCCCCATTAGTAAACTACTTCTGCAAATTGCTATTGCATTTCCCAGCTAACCATTTAAAAGACTGTAAATGCCATGTGCATTACTTCGCTCCAGAGGAAAGAGGTCAGACTGAATTGCAATGGTATTTAAACATAAAATATGGTGAAAATAAATCAAAATAGAACATCTGAAGGTAAATTTAGTACATTCACACAGGATAAGTAAAGACAAATATGTTCATATCTTCATAGCCCATCACTTTAAAAACTGAAAGTGCTGATTTTTTACAATAAATGCAGAAGTAAGTGGACATTAAGAATGTATTTCTATCTGTATTTGCCACAGAGGGTTCCCTTTAGCAAGCCGCTTTGCTTTCAAAGCTAAAATACTTTTTATGATAGTGTGCAGGTTATGCATTCCTCACTGAATAAATAATCACATTTAACTAACAAATTCAATGCATTTCATATATATGCCTAAATTCTCAATAAGTAACTCCCCAGCCCCTCAGAGACGGATATACACATAAATGTTAATTTGGGCATATTCACCAACACATGTATATGCATTTGAGAAACAGAGAAGTTGATATATCTTTTCTCAAAAAAGAATTTGAATACAGTCCATCATCTGAATTGGGTTCATCTTCAATTGTAGAGGCGGCTGACATGGTCAACAAATTTATCAAAGAAACCCCCTGGCTTTTGAAGAATAGTACGTTATACATCTGGATCTGCACATCCAGGCAAAGTAAGTAAATTATTGCATAACTTTAAGCATAATTGATAACAGACACCTTTAATTTTTCATCCCCATTCTTTTGGCCAGCTTTCACATTAATAATCTAAGCCATAAATGTTGGTAGCTATTGATCGAAATCCCCTGTGTGCATGCAAATCCATCTTAAAGTCCCCTGCCTTTCATGTGTGAGCGCTCAGGGGCCTCTGCTAGATCTTTTTATCGGGATCGACCCCCAATGTGCCTGGAGAAGACCCCGGATATGCAACGTGTGCTGATGGCCACAAGAAAGCTGTCTGTCACATTCCCTGTGTGTGTGTGTGTGTGTATACGTGTGAATGCAAGCACTCACGCCTTGAAACACACACAGGATGGGGAAGTTAAAGGAACAAAAGAATGTATTAGACAAGAAGAAAGATGTGTAATAGGAGTATTAAAAATGTATAAGTTTAAAGGTGTCTGAGTGCACATACAGAGATACTCCTATAGATTGTATATATAGACAAATTCCCAAATCCTCTGGCCTTAATTTTTCTCAATTTGACCCAATAGATTGTACCTCTAGTTTAATAAAAATAATATTCTATTAGTTTTAAAAACCGCCTATATTGTCAGTATTTTAAAGGTGGAAAAGAGAGGGAGAGGGAAAGAAGGTAATTTTGAAATGGTTACTAAATCATGTTGCCATGTGCAGGAGGAATGGGAGTGTGAGTGTGTGTGTGTGTGTGTGTGTGTGTGTGTGTGTGTGTGCGCGCGCGCGGGGGCGCGCGCCCAC